TGGCAGCTAACAACTGTCCATAACTCCAGTTCCAGGGGATCTGACAGCCTCTTTTGTCCTCCATGGGCATTGCATGACATGGGTGCACTTACCTACATGCAGGCAATACATGCACACATGTAAAATTAAAATAATAAATAAAATATTTTTTTAAAAAAATCAAAGAACAAATATTATTGTAAATGAGGAGGGAGTCTTGGAAAGGCAGAAGCAAGCCCCAGGTTCTGTGTACCAACTCCCGAAATGTGCTTATGTTTCAATCACATGCATGTGGGGCAGGCTTTAATAAACTATAGACAATCTGAGTTGTCACTCTATAGAATTTACACTTTAAGTCAACTGAAATAGTTATCTACTAAAACAAAGCCATCAGCGCTTTTTACGCAAACATAATGTAAAGCAGAGTTCACAGCATAACTTCCACAGTGTCAGGGATACAAACTAAAATTACTTGACCTACAGGAAAATTTATTCCATTGTTAGAGAACTGATAGTCAAAAGAAGCTGATGGCCATCACAAAGATGCTGACAAGGATTTTAAAGGAACAGTTGTAACAGTAAATGGAAAATAAGCACCATATGACTCAAAAGAAAGAATAGAAATAGGAACTAAAGACAACTAAGTGGAAACTGTAGAAATGAAAAAAGTATGGTGTCTGAAATTTGGTTAAAAAAGATTTCTGAATACTTGGCAGCATCAGAGATGCTAGAGGAGTGCGTGTGTGTGTGTGTGTGTGTGTGTGTATACATCATCCAGCCTGAACAAGATAGGGGAGAAGATTCAAAACAGAATGGACCTTTGTAATATGCTAAATTTGGGGACATTTTGTTATGTAGTAGTTTATTGTGGGATAATAGTGTGGAAAACCTGCTCTTTGGTTCCGTGTCTGCACCATTTTGGTGTTGATCCTCATTGAACAGGCATGAGTCTTGAAAAATAACTTGGCTAATTTTTGTAAAAGAAGGTTGATAAACAATAGGGCTTCCTTTTTAATAACCAGGCCTGCCTTTCTTTAGAAGCACAAACGAGGTTGTTTTTCTAGTGTTTAATGATTCTTTTTGCCAATTTGAATTGGCCTCTTATGGAAGTAACCCTTCAAAGGCTTATGAGAGTCAGTATCAGTTGCACCCTAAGTAAATATGGAGGATCCCCAAGTGCTACTGTGTAGAGGTCCCTGGCCACAGGAAGTTTCTGGTATCCTCTCTTGCTTGTGTAGTTGCTAATAGAGCAAACACTTTAGCTGGGATGAAGGATTCATTCTTTGAGTGTGAGAACACCTCTTTCTTCTAGTGTCTTTCCTGTGCCAACAAGCATGTGTGTGTGTGTGTGCATGCGTGCGTGTGTGTACATCTTCCCCCCATTTTTCCCTATTATGTGTGCTGGAAACTTCTTGTAGCTAAATTTTTATTTCAGCGGGATGTTGAGAAGTATTTTCCTTGCTTATTGTTACTGTAGGGCTAAGGTTCAGCAGCTTTCAAACACTTTGGTTACAGTTCTGGTGAGGTGGATGGTTAGGAAGCAGCTCTAATTCACAGTGCATTGTTTAAGTGCTTTGTCTGACTTCTACACAAATTGGAGCGCACTGGGAAATTGTGCTTTGTGTTTCCAAGAGTAAAGATCCACAGCAGGGGATTTTGTGTCGTCTCACCTACTTAGGGTTGTTCTTCACTCAGAAGGAAAGAGGAATGGATCCTTTCATTTGTTCGTGTCTGCTCTGTCTCTGCATCATGTTTATAGGTATTATCAGCTTTAATCTTTGCAGCAGCCTTGCAAAACAGGTTTTGCTAGCCATGTTGAAAGGAGGGGCTGTCCAGTTGTATTGGCAGAACCAGAGCAGAATCTGGATTTGTTTGTTTGTGCGTTCCTAGGTTTGGGCTTGGTCTCCAAGAGTTTGGAAGAAAAGGTTTAAAGAAGATGTCCCGAAGGTCTTCATACCATAAGTCCTCTGACCCCCTTAGCTCCCCCTGGGCTCACCTCTGAAACTCCAGGGGTACCAGCTCTGTCTTACGCATCCCTTCATCAAATGTGAATATCCTTAGACTGGAGGATCCTGTGATAGATGAAGATCCCATTCTAGGGATGTTGTGAGAATGCCTTCCCTGAGGAGACATTTATCCCCTCCATATACACCCCAAGAACAAATCAAGTTAGGATTCCATGTGG